CCCCGAGTCAGGCTGATTTAGAATTAAAAAAAATCATTATAAAGATAGATAAAAATATTAAAATAAAATAATAGGCAATAGAACAAACTCACTTGTCAATGCCCCTAAACTTAACACCGTCTGCTGGAGGTCTGCCCAGATAAAACGGTCTTATAACACTTCTGTAAGGCATCCAGTCTTTCGCTTTGATAGACCACAAGTTGGAGAAAATTTCAGGGCTGAGGAGCAGCTACCAAGAATTATCTCCCATGTGTTTTTGCCAAAAGAACTTGGTGTATAGCTAGTAGCTGCAGAAGGTTGCTATTGGGGGACCTGAGGGATCACAATGCAGGAGAAGGTGGTTCCTTCAGTATCTAGAGGTCAGACTGCTTATGGCCTTAGGGGTTAGAACCAGTCCCTTGAATTGGGCTCAGAAATCTGTTGGAGGTGAGTGCAGACTCTGGAGCAGTGGAATAATGTCCTCTTGGCACCCTATGATCATTAGAAGGTGGGCAACTGCATTCTGCATGAGTTACAGCTTCTGGATGGTCTTCAAGGGCAGCCCCACATAGAGTGCATTGCAGTAGTCTATCTTGAGGTTAAGAAAACGTGGACAATGGTGGCCAGGTATGCAGAGTCAGCCGTAAGGAAAATGGTGCCTTTGGTGAACTTGAATTTTGGCTCCACCTCCCAAGTCAGTGGCGCTGCTGCAGACAGAGGCAGGTGACCAGGGGCATGGGGCACAGTCCGGTGGGGAGGCAGATCTGCCCTCAGTGCCTGGCCTAGCTCCTTCTGAGCAGTAGCTGGAAGTGGTGGGGCGGGCTGGGCAGTGTCCTAACATGGGGAAAAAAACCCCCTTCATTTTATAATCAAGCATGAGGCTATGGGGGATAGACAGCTGCTGTAGCTCCAGCCTCAACCCTATGGCTCTCATCCAACTCCTGGGGCCAGAAGGTCAGAGCACAAGTTGATGTGGATGTGCTATCAGAGCCAGGCTCCTCCTCCAAGAAATCTTTGGGTGTTTTTACATGTGCTGTGAGGTGGGGAAATGCTTTAATTAGCAGGTGCAGTGGCAGCGAAGCAGCAGCAGTGCTTTCCAAGTACCTCCACTTCTCCACACCACCACCACCACCACATACCCCGTGAGGCCTTCCCAAGTACCCCCAGGGGTATGCGTACTCCTGGTTGACAGCCCCTGCTCTACAGGCTTCTTATACATGTGCTCAGTCTACAGATGCCCTATACACATACCCAGAGGTAGGGGTTGGCTGTTTTATTGGTGCATTTTATATGTATAAACAGTTTTAAAAACTCAGTGAAACTAATCATTATTAATGCTCCATTGACTAGTCAGTAAAAAACAATCCTATTTGCACAAGTTTTGTGAGCAGATGATTTGTATTTGGATAGAGGTGAATGTCTTCAAGTTCTTGATTCTTCATCTAGTACTACAATGTATACCTTAGACAAATTAATTCCTTGTCTAAGACTGTTGAAGTTACACCAGGGATTCATGTGGTTTCATGTCTTTACATAGCACCATACTTCTTTTCCAAAAAAATGTTGGGATAATTTTCAAAAGTGTTCAGACTTGCAGCTCCTTCTGACTACAGATGGAGTTATATGTGTTTAGTGTTTCTGAAAGCCAGGCCCTAATTTCATTTCTTATGAATGGTAATGGGTTTTGATTTATAGGATAGGATTCATAATGGCTTATGAATGGTAATGGGTTTAGCCCTGGAGCCTAAATCTTTGTCCAGAGAACGGTTATCCAGTGAATGGCAGCAGCACATGCCTTCCCCATTCTGTTTCCTGAGCATGCCTTAATACTTACCTTTGGTAAATGGATGGTTAAGCCTCTGTATGAGTTCAGCCTCAGGTCTGTCTACTAATCCTGATGAGAGTAGCTTGGCAGCTTCGTGCCTTGAACTGGCCATGTCTTGAACATAAATAGCTGTATATAGCTGTTGCAAATAAATTTATCTTGCAGTGATACTCAGATCTTAGCGAGCACATCATCTGGGGGATCCTGTTATGAAGTATCTTGTCACCTAAGATATGGTGCACATTAAGGGACAAACTCTTTTTAAATGCTACCATTAAACACGAGGGTGCATTTTATAAGGCCACACTTTTCTGGATATATTTGCAGCATTGGAAATGCACCTAACCCTATGTAGCCACCCTGAAACATTCCTAAACCTCCTTTACGTTTATAACTTCCAGCTGTTTAAAAAATAAAACCTTCACACAAAGGAACAACTTTACTAGGCAACACCTCATCTTATCTGTTTAACAGCAAATATCTCTAGTGCAGGTTTGATTTTAGTTGCAAGGTCTGATTCATTGCGTATTTCCACTGAGGTCCACCAGTGAAACCTGTGCTGCAGACCCTTAGCAAAAGAAAGCCTGTCTGGTGAAAAGCTTCAGTGTGAGCCATATTCTCAATTGAAAGGTGGATAAAAAGACCCCAAGGAACAGCTCAGAGGCATCTGCATGACTTGCCCCTCTTCTGCGTAAGTGTTCTGAGAGCAGTATGATTGCCGTACAAATACTGGAACAGCTATTATTTGTATGGCATTCTGGATAACAGTCTTTCTGCTCATACCTGGTAGACTAGTTTGCAAAAATCCTCAGGTTGAAAGTTTATTTCCCAGCTTCTTTGTGTGTGTCTGTCATATAGGGGACAATAAATAGCTATGCTAGACATTTATTACAGTCTAAAGTTAGGTGATTTTTTTCCTAGCACTCATTTCTACTGTAACAGTTTGTAAACATATTTTAACACTATACTTCCACAAAGAATTAAGTTAAATGGTATAGACAGTTTACTTATGCAGGATGAATTGCAGCATTAATACTACCCTGAGGCAGACCTCTTTTGTTATCCCAGTGAAAGATTCCATCTTCAACATCAAAAGTAAAGGTCAGTTAGGGTATAAAAATTACACTGCCTTATTCAGAGTCTGTTTCCATATGTCTTCAAGTTACATTGGCAAAATGTAACTTGACAACCATAAATCAGGTTGTGTTCTTCACTCTGCAGAGCCAGCACATTTATATATAAATATCTATATCACACCTGAATCCTGATACAAAATTATAAAGAGTAGGCAAAACTATTTTTTTCTCTTCCAGCTCTGGGAGAGTAAGCTGGATTCTGTTCTGTAAATAAGACATTACCCTCTCAGTACTTGAAACCTGAAAACCATGGACATCTCCATAATACCATTTCTTCATTCTCTTACATGGCCACTGTTTTGATTAAAACTGTATTTAAAAAAATTGAACTGGCTGCCATGTGTTCCACTTCGCTTTTTTGTTTTTCAGGATGTCACTTATATATTCCTTGTACTATCACTTACTACCATTTTTTAAATTATTTTAAATGATTGTGAAAAGAAGTCAGCATAGGAAACTGGCCTCACCAAGCTGATACAGACTTCTCTCACTGGCTCCACAAAAACCTACCACTTTCACTGAACACACTTTCTTGTCTATCACTGAAAGGGAAGTCACTCACCTGTTTTGGAGCAGTATTATCTCAAAGCTGGCATCTTACTTACAGTGGGTGGCTAGGTGGAAAAATGATTGGATCATGCATATTGAAGAGAAGTCAGGTACTGATATCCAAATGTCTGTGCAGACCTCGGGTCTTTACATTGCACTCATGAAAGGAGAGGGAGAAAAGAATTCAGTTCTCCTGCCTAGCTAATCCCTGATGCATCTCTAATTAGAGCTAAGAGATTTATTACTGGGTTCTTATGCCACCAGGTTAAATCCTACAAAACAGGCCAATTAACCAAATGTGATCTGAGACCTTTGTGACATACTGTATTTATGGCAACTTCCTCCACCAGCTACTAACAGGCAATGGGGAATGCTCTGTCAGGCTATGTTGATGCCTTCATTGGCTCTTAAATTGATTCTTAACAATTTGTATATGGCCAAGAGCCATATACATATGCTTGGAGTAATGGCACAAACGTTACTTCCTTTAGAGGGGAAAAGCCAATTTAGGCCATCCTCATTAACATAAATTATAAAGTTGCTTACCCATAGTTCCAATTCTATATATTGTTGCTTGCATGGAATATGTCTATGTTCTGACTCTGTAAAAGATTGTAACTGTATCTGTAAATGAGGGACTTAGGGATTGTGCAAAATATACCATGGAGTATGTGGGCCATCTTGTCTTTCCAAGTAGTGAATTCTGGGTTGGGAATGGGATTTATCATGAGCAAGAGCATGATAAAGAGCTATGTTATAGAGACCAGGTGCTTTGTGCCAGGGAGTAGATATCCAAGGACCTTGTTGGATATGGTTCTTTCATGGAATTTTTGAGCTCTAGATAGGATGATTTGGTGGGGTGAGACCAGACTGGATTGACAACTCTGATGGCAGAGAGTCAATTTTGTAAGAGGGCCCAGCTGGTTTGGTGATGGTGACAGTACCAAAGCTGATGTCATAGAACTGGAGCAGGTGGGTGCACATTAAGCCAGAAGGGACACAAGATCTCCCAGGACACCCTCCTAAGTACCACTGGATTTAATTGCATGTATAAGGGGAGGTGTAAGTG